TCACGCATTCACGGATGTGCGGGAAGGGATTTACAGTTATTATCTGCAGCATTACTTTAAAGGGTGCACCGTTCCGTCTGTTGTTGGAGGGTGTATGCCGCGGTGCAGCGGGCTTTTCTTCTGGTGTTTAGCTGTCGCCACCTGATACGGCTACCCCAATACAGCTATTGTTTGCGCTCTCTTCTGTTTCAGGCAGACACGGCTTCCAATCCTGGAATGCTCACTAGCCTTAGCAGTCAGTCTCAGTCTTCGGGGGGCAAGTGGGAAACACACCCGGATGAGTGGCCGGCGGTACTGCACCAAAATCCTTACGTGAGTCGAACATCCCCCACTGCAAGCAAACTGCGCATTCTGGTTTCAAGGTTGCAGGTATTGGTCACGCCAATACTGATACTTGATAAGAAATTTACAGATATTACATTCAGCATTTGCGTAAAACGTGTAGGCGTGTAGCACGTCCTTCTGCTGTTGGAGAGGTGTACACAGCGGGCCTGCCTTCTGGCAGGGTTTGGGCTTCCCCTCCGAATATACATCCCCCAATCGAGTTCTCGCTTTCCCTTTGTCCTGTTTCAGGCAGACGTGCCCTCCACCTCAGAAATTCCCGGCAGCGTTGGCGACCAGCTGCAGTCTTTCGGGGGCGGATGGCAGCCACAAACGGGCAGTTGGCCAGTGCAAGTGTACCCAGATCCTCACGTGAGTTGCACCTCCTTCTAAATGCTGCACAAAGCGCACAACGTGGCATCGGATCTGAAGTTATCCGCTCGGCGTTCACGAATGCTCCACCGCTATTTCACAAGTATTTCCTTCGTATTTTCGTGGATTTGCCCCATGCCCGCCTGCTATTGGAGGGGTGTATGCAGCGAGGCAGTCTTGCTGCGTGACGTAGTTGCTGCCGCCTTGTACAGTTACCTCAGTTGAGCTGTCCCTTGTCTTGCGTCAGGCATACTATCCATCTGTCTACGGAGTGCCCGGCACCCTTGGCGGCCAGCTGCACCCTTTTGAGGGTGAAAATGAGACACAAACGAGCAGCCTCCAAGGGCTAGTTCTCGCAGATCCTCATGTCTGTCGCACTGCTTTCCACTGTGCAGAAAGTGGACAATATCGTTTGACTCTTGTGGTACAGTGTGTAGCATTGCAAACTTGTTGGAGAGTTGTATGCAGCGAGGCAGTTTTGTTGTGTCATTTCATTATCGGCGCCTA